GAGCGGCCCTGCTGAAATGCAGCTTCACACCTGAGGTTTACGTGCTCTTCCCGGACATGTTTTTTTGCAACAGGTGCGCGACAGCGCTGAACATCTTAACCATCTGAGGTGCCGTGCTGGACTACCTGGGTCTGCAAATAACGGATAATGCGTGGTCGATTGGTAGTCGCGGGCGCTTTGGCGGCCTCGGTGCCCCCCAAACGCTCGCTAGCCACAGGAAAAATGTGTAATAACTCTTCCATGCTGGGACCCATGTATGCCGAGGCGCCTGCGCTCGTGGTTGGGTGGCCCTCTGGGCGGTCCTTGCCGTCTGGCGGGATCTCCAACGCGCGTTCCCCGATTACCCCGTCACCCCCCCGAACGATTACCCCACCAATTCGCAAATAATATCCAAGATATGTTCCTTCCAGTGGCAGGTCATATGCACGGATTCCTTTCTGAAGCCGTTGATGGTCCCAATTGTGGAAAAATTAGTCCTGCTTGAACAGCTCGCACGTTTGTTCCCCTCGCTTACCACCTCGTTTGGCCAACGGTTCCCACGTCTCCTCGAAGAGCTCGTCGCCACTGCGGCCTGCCCATGCTGGACATGTCTCTACACAACGCCCAAACCGTCTGCAAGACGGCGATAAGTATAATATTATGAACAAGCCAGAAATATCGAAGTAACAACTTGACCATATACATCGATTCGAATGTCAACAGGACGTTGGGCCCCACTCCATTAAACGGTCGGGCAAATTGAGATTGAAATAACAGCCACAGCATCGCCTCCAACGCTGCCTGGAGCACGCAGTATTGTTGCTATGCCGCACAGCGCCGACGAACATAGGATGACACACGTCCGTCGACATCTCTCCGCACGCTTCGAATATGAGAATATCCCAATCCTCTGGTTGGCCTGTCTTGAACACAGCGTAGCCCCACCCACAAAAGGGAATCAACCGCCTCCGGCACCCCGCCGTCATCGTGACAATCTTGAAAAGCCCGTCGCAGAAGATATCAAATGCATCGTCCCGGCCCTATCCTGGGAGGTACCGTCCCGCGCAGTCTGGCTTTCGAATCTTCTGTAAAATCTCTCCCCGGAACTCGGCCGCCGACGAGGCCCTCCAGAACAAAGGTTTTGTTGTGCGCTCGTGTCCATTGCGCTCCCACGCCAGATATGCCCCCTCCGGCATCCGAGTCTTGGCGACCATAAGAAAATGATCAGAGCAGTCCGAAGTCGGGAAACTCAGCATCGTTCGAATATGCTCGAAGGCCAGCCACTTCGTCATGATGTAATTAATCATTCTGCCCAATCCAGGAGTTCGCGTGGAAGTAGGTATTGTCGCCGTCGTCGCTGTGAAACGAGGTACTGGTTGCCCGCAACCCCTCTTCAATGATGAATTCGTTGAGTAAGGAGGCCTTCCATGCATGCACCCGCGGAGGACTTTCCGTATAGTTGCCGATCTAACTGCATTCCTATCCCTTCAAGCTGGCAAGTAAGCTACGCTCGTGATCATGCTTGGATGTCGAAGCTCTCAAAAGCGCAGTAATTACAAATACCGGTCCGATGCATTGGAAAACAAGGCCCAATCCTGTGACCATCCCACGTAAACTGGTCCAATAGTGGTGTAGGTGGGCGTGATACCGGAGAAAAAAACATTCATTTGTTTTAAGACTGTAGTGCTGTGGGGCTATGGGGCTATAGGGGTATAACGCTCTGGGGCTGTAGGACTGTAGGACTATAGGGCTATAGGGCTATAGGATATAGGGCAACAGGGCTATGGGACTATAGGGCTATGAGGCTATGAGGCTACGGGGCTATAAGGCTATAAGGCTGTAAGGCTATAGGGCTATGGGGCTACAGGTCTATGGGACTATAGCGCTATCGGGCCATTAGAGCTAGAGGACTATAGCGCTGTAGGGCTATAGGGCTATAGGGCGATAGTAGTATACGGCTATATAGCTGTAAGCCTATTGGGCTATAGGGCTACCGTGCATGCCGGCACCCGGGCACCCGGGCACCCGGGCGTGCCGCCGAAACCAGCGGCACAGCTAACCTAACCATATGATACCAGAGAGAAACCCAATCATGATCTTTGTAGAAATATAAGGCTATGGGGCTACAGGGCTATAGGCTGTAGGTCTATGGGGCTATGAAACTCTTGGGCTATAGGGCTATAGGGCTGTAGGGCTGCAGGGCTATATGATTATAGCGCTATAGGGTTATAGGGCTATAGGGCTATAGGGCTATAGGACTATGGGGCTATAGGGCCATAGGGCTATAGGGCTCTAAGGCTATAATGTAGGACGAGCACCCAGGCGTGCCGCCGAAATCAGCGCCACAGCTAACTTAACCATATGATACCAGAGAAAAATCAAATCATAATCTTTTTAAGGGTTATAGGGCTCTAGGGTTATAGGGCTATAGGATTACAAGGCTATGGGGTTATAGAGCACTATAGGTTTATCGGAGGTTGGGGGGTGAGATCGAAGTGGAATGGAGAGCCCCCCACCGGGAAATCGGTTTCGGTTTCGTGTTCGTGCGTGCCGTGCGTACGGGCGAGGCGAAGCTGCGTAGGCGGGCGAGAGGAAAGTCTCCTGTGGCTGAAGCGCGGCTGGACCAAATGGTTCCCCTCCCGCAAACGGGGCCGCGCGGTGTCCCGCCGGTGTCCCGCCGGTGTCCCGCTGGAGTCCCGGTAAGTCTCCTATGGCTGAGGCGCGGCCGGACCAAATGTCTCCCGACTGGCAAACGGGGCCGCGCAGTGTCCCGCCGGTGTCCCGCCGGTGTCCCGCTGGTGTCCCGGTGTCCCGCTGGTGCGAAAACGATAGTGAGACCGATAGTGAGATC